TTTTGTATACAGTGGTACCTCAGGTTACATACGCTTCAGGTTACAGACTCCGCTAACCCAGAAATAGTACCTCAGGTTAAGAACTTTGCTTCAGGATGAGAACAGAAATCGTGCGGCAGCGGTGCAGCGGCAGCAGGAGGCCCCATTAGCTAAAGTGGTGCTTCAGGTTAAGAACAGTTTCAGGTTAAGTACGGACCTCCGGAACGAATTAAGTACTTAACCTGAGGTACCACTGTACTGTATAGCTTTCATGTTACTGCTGTTTTGCTGGACACAAAGGGATGCAGACATGTTTTCCTTTGTTCCTGAACTATGCTGAATAAATGCTGTAAATAGGTTTGCACATCTGCCTCTGTCCGCCTTTTGCTGTGAGGTGATTTACACACTCTGCTGACAGAGCGTGCATGGGTCTGTAAATGTATCTGAGGCTTGTGTCACTGACTGACTGATGCTGTTCCACGGGAGACTGCTGATCGTCCGGAGCCAGCTGGGGGCCTGCCTGATGCCCCCGTCTCCCTGGCATATCCCAACATCCAGTTGCGGACTCCTGGGTTGTGGCGCTCATCTCGCTTTACTGGCCGAGGGAGCCGACGTACAGCTTCTGGGTCATGGGGCCAGCATGACTAAGCCGCTTCTGGTGAACCAGAGCAGCACATGGAAATGCCGTTTACCTTCCCGCCGGAGCGGTACCTATTTATCTACTTGCACTTTGATGTGCTTTTGAACTGCTAGCCACATACCAGGCTTCGAATCCCCACTTCATCATGCAGCTCACAGGATTATGGTTGTGGGGATTAACCAAGGACAGGGTGAACTATGTCTACCACCTTGAGTGCCTTCAATAAAAGGGTGAGGTATAAATCCAATAAATAACACTGGTCAACAACAAATTTGTTGTCTGCGTTTTTTCAGCTGATTTAGGATGAATCTGATGCACTGAATCCAAAAATCACATTGGTTTTGCTCAATCAGGTTAAGTTTTTGAGCTATGGCCACATGTCTTTTTTTACGTTTTTGTTCACATGTACGCTTGTGTGGAGCATTTTAGAAGAAGTTGGAGGTAAAATGCCTTGTCAAATAATTGTTTTGATTGGAAATGATTATTTTAATGACAAGAAGTATTCAGGTCCGATAGTTCTGGGTGATTATGTCGAAAAGGGATCAGTTTGAAGTCATAAAACCTCGAAATCTTCCATAAATTGGTCCAGCAAAGCATAAAGTTGGGGGATCAAAACTAAGTTAATGGGGCAGCCGCCCCACGAAGTATCCTGATCTTCAATCAGCATGTCGTCCTGTAGCTCATTGTGATGAAATTCCAGTGCCTATCTTCGGAGAACTTCCTGACATTAGTGACGAAGATGCCTCCAGTGTTGAAGGACATGAAAAAGAAGTGGTTCTTAAAGATGATGCTCCACATCCATTTTCCCAAAAGGAGTTGAATGATCTAGTTCGCGACCTCAGCTTGTCAAAAGACTCTGCCGAACTGTTGGCATCCAGATTGAAGGAAAAAACCTCCTCTCTGACAGTGCTCGCATCAGCTTCTTGCGCAACAGGCATCAAGAGTACCTCCGTTTTTTCTCGGAAGAGAAGGACTTGGTGTACTGTGCAGATATTGCACAGCTTCTGCTCAAGCTTGGGAGTGCCACAGTACGAACCCAAAGATTGGAGACTGTTCATTGACAGCAACAAGCGATCACTGAAATGTGTTCTGCTACACAACGGCAACCAGTTTGCCTCTATACCCCTGGCTCACTCAAGTACACTGAAGGAGAACTATGAAGCGGTGAAGTATGTGCTCGAGAAAATTGGTTATGATCAGCATAAGTGGTTTATTTGTGTTGACCTGAAGATGGTGAACTTTTTGTTGGGACAACAGTCTGGCTTCACCAAGTACCCATGTTTTCTGTGCATGTGGGATAGTAGGTGCTCAGCATTACACGAAGAAGGACTGGCCTGTGCGGGTGGAATTGGTGCCTTGCAAAGAAAGGAACGTCATCAACGACCCTCTCGTGGACAGACACAGAATACTCTTCCCACCGCTGCACATCAAGCTCGGCTTAATCAAGCAGTTCACCAAGGCTCTGGACAAGGATGGTGACTGCTTCATTTACTTGTGCCAGGCTTTTCCAGGATTGACCATGGAGAAGTTGAAAGCTGGCATCTTTGATGGTCCTCAGATCCGTCAGCTCATCAGAGATCCAGAGTTCGGAAACTCAGTGAACGAAGTGGAACTGGAAGCGTGGAAGGCATTTGTTCTGGTAGTGAAGAACTTTCTTGGCAACAATAAGGCCAGAAACTACGCAGAACTTGTCAACAACATACTGACTGCTTTCAGAAACCTGGGCTGCAACATGAGCGTCAAGATGCACTACCTATTTTCACATATGGACCAGTTTCCTGAGAACCTGGGTTCAATGAGTGACGAGCAGGGGGAGAGATTGCATCAGGACGTGAAAGAGATGGAGACCAGGTATCAGGGTCGCTGGGACGCAGTCATGATGGCTAACTACTGTTGGACACTTGAAGAGAGACCTCCGTGCTGCTGAGCATTCCAGGAGTTCCAAGAAACAGAAGTTCAAGCCCTGAAGTTTGAAAAATGGTGAAGCAACGTGCAATTTACGTGTACTTACCTTTGTCAATGCCCACCATTCAGTTTACAGAAAACCTGACCTGATGGAGAGAAACGGATGCCATTTCCTGATTCAGCAGTGCAAAAATACCCTAAATCAGTTGTAGAAATCTAGACAACATTCAAAAAGTAAAAAATTGTTGCCCAGTGTAATTATTGCAAGTCACTTTGGAGTGTACTGACCTTGATTGACCTGTGCCAGCCATGGAATAACATTTTAGAATTTCTACCCTGCCGTTTTGACCTTAGGGCTCCAAACGCCTATATAAATATATAATTCCTCTGCATGGTGACTGAAACAGCCACTACTACATCCCAGCTTCTCCTTGCCAGGCTCCCTTTCCAATCTGCTCCTTGCAGCAGCATCAAGATCCACTGTAGGCAGTTTAGAAGCTCAACAGTGGCCACTAGTGGTCATTCCCTGATCACTCATCTCAATGCTGTGGTTGTAGAGCAGTTGAAACGCTGCTCCACCAGTTAAGATGGAAACCAGGACCTACTAGTGCCTCACCTGGCAGGTGAACCTGGTTGCTGCCAGCAGCTCTTAACAGTTCTTCCAGTTGCAAACAGAGGGTTGGAGCCAACTAAGTTATTTTTTTAAACAGTACACCCATTCAAATTAATGGACCTAAGTTAGTCATGCCTGTTAATTTGAACCGGTCTAATCTGAAGACGACTAGCATTGGATTGTAGAACCCAAATATTCCACAGCTATAGCTAGAAACACTTGGGGTTATTTTTAGCCAGGTGTCTCATTTTAAATATACTGTACAAACAAAGCTATCCATAAAGGACTCTTTGCTAAATATATAGCCTAAGCAATGACTAGCTCAGCTGCCAAATGGGTCAGCATGCATTTCAGGGCAAGCAAGAGCCACAACTTGCCCTCTAAAGCAGGTCAATCAGGTGAGGGCTTCTAGAGTAGGCGAGACTTTTCGTTTTCAGAAATTTCTTAGAGCTTCCATCTTTCAGCAGAACTTTAGGAGGCAGAAGCTAAAGTGGGGGGGAATCCCATATTAAAGCAGACTGCCTTAAAATTTCAGAAACCAAAGCCTCACCTATCACTAGAAACCCTCTCCACAAACGTCAGCAAAATGGTAGTTGGAATCAGGAGCAGAATCCACTTCTACTCCGCTGGTGTAAATTTGGGACCAAGAAAAGCCGCCGCTAGCAATCCATAAGGAAAGCTCCCAATACTACTGGCAGCGTTACTCACCCGCCACTCACTGAGAGGTCCACCTTTCCATGCCTAGGGATTCCTCCCATCTGACCCCACCCATTCTCTTTTACTGCCACCCTCCCCAGCATGTGAAATGTGCATGTGGTGTCACCTGCCTTCCATTCCCACCTCCCTTTAAATGCCTTTGGTTTATCCCTCTTAATCCTCAATTTACAAATGCAATAGAGTTTTAAAGTCAGGCATGGAGAACCTCTTTAGCATCACAGGCTAGATCTTTATCTCCCCTAATGGGCCAATGTTGACAAGTGGGCAGCCCCGCCCCATCACCTGACCTGATGTCAGGATGGAACCTGGACGGCAGTTCCATCAGGCACCTGTCAAAGCTGATATGTGGGAATGGCTCCTTCAGGGGCACTCCTTCAGGGAACCCATTAGCAAAGCAGATCCCAGCAGGATTGAACCCCATCCTTCCAACATCAGCCACTGACAACACTTGGGACAGGTGGGCATGGTTTTGGGAGAAATGGCCTTACCAGCCAAGAATGGCCCACGGGTCAGAGGTTCCGCAATCCTGCTCTTACGCAAATGGCATTAACTGTCCTCCAGAACTCTGAATCTCAGGTCAGTATTCAACTCACTTGGTGACCTTAGGCAATCCACTCCCCCCCCCCCCACAGCCCCCTGCTTCTCTACACCCCCTTGCTGATTTCGTGGAGTGGGAAACTCAATTTTTGCCTATGCACTCAGACATTGCTACATAAAATAAAAGCAGGCTATAAAAGGAGTAGAGATGTACAGGAAGCCAAGTTCAACACCCCATACAGTGGTACCTCTGGTTATGTACTTAATTCGTTCCTGAGGTCCATTCTTAACCTGAAACCGTTCTTAACCTGAGGTACCACTTTAGCTAATGGGGCCTCCCGCCGCCTCGTGATTTCTGTTCTCATCCTGAGGAAAAGTTCTGAACCCGAGGTAGTGCATCCGGGTTAGCAGAGTCTGTAATCTGAAGTGTTTGTAACCAGAGGTACCACTGTACTGCATTCTTCACCTGTCCACCAGTGGAGAAACTCTTATTAACTATTCCTTAATTAAGAGTTAAGCCCCCTGGGGTTGTGCACAGGCTAAGAACAAAGCCGTCTCGTTTCCAATGCTGATACTAAACAACCATCCTAGGCGAGGACAGAGGCAGAAGGTTTTTAAATATAAAATCAAATACTTTAATGAAAATCTGGGAACAGGAAGACAGCTCAGATATACCACTAAAACGGATATTCCTGCGCTGCATACAATTTCTCTCTTAATATAAACACCTTCTTATAAGCAAGCAACGGGAGGGCAAACTATCAGTTCTTCAAGAGTTTTTAAAGATCCTGAGTAGAGAGTTTATCTAAACCACATAAAACGTTATATTATATGAAAGCATCCGAAGTCCTGAGCTGGTGGCCAGCACCAGGCATTTCACCACGTTTTAAAAAATAGACAACTTCCAACACACTGAATCTAAATACTTTCACATTTCCACAGAGTTCTTTATGCAAAAAGAAAGAAGGGGGTGAGGAGAAGTCTTTAGTTGAGGAATTTAAATTTCTCAATATTCAGTATGCAGGTTACAAAGCCCCCCCCCATTTAATTCAATGCATTTGCACTTTGTGGGTGAAATTCAACAGGTTAAGGCCTTTCTCTGTCCTTACTGTTCCAACACCAGATATATATACACACACAAAAAGGCCGCCTAATATAGGCATCGATTCTTATAAAATTAAAAAAAAAAAATCCCCTTGTGTTCTACAACGCAATCAAGTCCACTGCGAAATAAACGAACAAGGACTGCTGTTAGCACCAAGCAACGCTGTATGGTCTGAGTGTCCAAAATCCTTTGGGGCTGGGAAGGGCAATGTCTGAACACTCTGACCAGCCTCATAAGGCAATTCTCTCCACAGAGTCCTATATTATTTGGAAACAGTCCTGCTTCTGTAGCAGCAAAGGAGCATCGCCTGTCGAACACAGACAGATGATCCAGAAAGAGAGGGAGGCTCTCCCACATTATGAGGAGACTCAAAAGATACCTGCCCCTCCAAAAAACCCCCAACCATAGTAAATGGGACATGTCACAATTAAGTCCTTCTAACTATCCTTCCTTGCACCAAGCAGGCACCAAGAGTTTTAAGTCTGTGAGCCCCCGGAAGACAGAGCGAGAGCTCGTGTAGTCTGTTCTCTGGTCCTGCTCATCTACGATGCCGGCTGTGCCCTGGGTGCTCCCTCTCATAGCGGTGGCCTGGCCTCTCGTAGGAGTGGGGCCGCTCGGGCCTCTGATCCCTGTAGTAGTGGCTCTTCTTCTTGTACTTCCCAGAGTGGTCAGAGCGTTCTCGCGAGCGGCTCCGGGACCGTGACGAGCTCCTGCTGCGGGATTTCCGCTGCTTGGGAGAGGTGTATTTGTACCCCTTGGCCTTCTTGTAGCTCCTCATCTTGGAGGCTTTGTAGCTCGAGCTGCCATGGTTGAACTGCCGCGGGGGAGAGTCACTTCGGCTCCTCGAGCGGCTGTGGGATTTGGAGCCGCTCGATGGGGAATAGCTTTCACTCTTCCTGGTGGAGGGGACAAGGGGGAAAAGGCTTCAGTTTGCTAGCAAATTTGGGAAAGACAACCCTGTGGCTCCAATCGTGGAACAAGAACACCCCACAGGGACAACAGCATTCCTAGGCACCTGCGGATGGGTGCTCCAGGTCCTATCACAGAGCTGTAGCTCAGATCAGGCACGCTTTGACATTAATTGATATTGTCATCATCATCAGGTGCAGCAGAAACATTGCAATGGCTGAAATACTGCTGTAGCTCTGGCAACAGTGGGGCTTGGGGAAGAGAGAAGCAGAGTCTCTGGGCTTAATGTGGTTGGCCTGCAGATCACCAAGCAATTGTGCCTATCACCAGACATGTTCCCCATGATTTCAGCAAATGAGGACCAGGTGTTTGCCAAGCTAAGATCTACCCTCCCTCACAGCTTTTAAATCCATGCTGGAAATTAAAATGCCTGTTTCAACGTCTCCTTTTATATCTACACTAACGGGTGAAGCAAGCAATGCTATGGTCTTGTTTGACCGAATCAAACACATGGAAAACTAGCAGGTCAAGGAAAAGTCTAGGGTAAATCCCTTTCCCCTGTGACATTTAACAGGAATGCTTTTCCCTAAATGCAGAGATTCTCTTTCTGTGGTGGAATACAGAGCCAAGTGTTGCAGCCTCTGTGAGGACAAGGCCCCAAAATCATCTGAAATGCCAGAGACAGAGTGCTGGCCAATCACTACCACTACATTCACCTGAGACGCTGCTCTAGAGAGGTACGGGGTTGCTCTCTTCCCAGCTTGGGTATTGGTAGAGTTGGAACTCTAGTCCCTTCCAGAGGGCACTGCAGTACATACCTCTGCTTTGGAGATGGTGACCTTGAGGGAGACCTGGAATAACTCTGGTCTCTACTTCCACTCCGACTCCGGCTGTCTCTGCCTTTCTGAACGCTGGAAGGTTAAAGCAAGAGAATTTGATGTCAAAGCAACAAGTGGACCAGTCAGACCCTCAACCTAGGTACACATATGCCCAAGGCAAAAAAATCAGGATAACCCACTTCTGGGGCAACACTGTCACAATAAGGCTAGGATAAAGTTAACAGAAGCAGGTCACAGTTATCTCAATATGACCTAGAGATGTGATGACCTGGGTTTCCAGAAAGCGTGTCCCAAATACTTAAAGCTACTTTTGCCTGTGCTAATATCGCCCCAAAGAGGCTCAGAGACCATCTTTTGCCCACAACGTAATTTAAGTCAGACAGGAGGCAGTAGCCCTGGAAAGAAGCTTTGACTATGCCAAAGCCATGCCTACAGTCCCTCATGGCCTTATGGAGCAGTGCTACAGACCTGCACTGCTGCAAAAGCATTCAAAGAAATAGATACAGGGCGGAAAAGAGACCAGTTTATCGTGCAAGGCCCTTACCCATTGACAGGACTGTTGGATTTCATCCGCTTCGTCGCTTCCATTTTCCGCTTGGCGTTTTTTACCACCTGCACAGCAAGTGGGGAAGGCTTGGTGCCTTTATTTTCCTTTGGAGACTCTAGAGATGTGTAAGAGAAAAGTACAGTCAAAACTTAAGGGATGACATGCTTCTATGTGCCATCACCCATAATGCACTTTTACAGATAGGGGGTCATACCCAAGTAAGTTCTACTCAGAGTAGACCCACTGAAATGAATGGACCATAGTCAACCATGTCCAGGAAATTCAGTGGGTATATTCAGTGTAGGGCCAGCATTGGCGATAAGACAGGGCCTTCAGATTACAATGTTCCATGTCCAGAAAAACCCTGGAAAAATTAAAGTCAGGAGTGCTGACACAAATCTGCAAGTTCACCATAATGAGAGCTTTGATCAGAAAGGCTGACAACTACTATCAAGACAACAACAGGTCCTACTTTACTTAGCATGTTAGGATGCAGCATACATGCTAAATGGGATACAACTTCAATTGTGATCCTGCATGTGTAATTTACCTGTGTGACATTCCATGTGGCTGACAGCTCCTTTAAAACTAGGTTGCCGCCACCCATTTGTTTATCATTACTTTAGCCTGGGAAGGCATTTCATTTTGCATGTGCAGCTGCAGAGAACCAGATTTAAATGAGACACCAACCAGATGGAATGCTGTACCGGCTGCCTACATGCCCAGCCATCAATTTCAATTGGGTCACTGTGCTGAAGTGAGGCCTAAAGTCATCCTCCTCCTATAAAAGGCAGCACATGTGAGCAGACATCTACTTTGGTACAATTAAGGCCTAAACCTTAATAAGGATGGGAGGATTCGTCCCATATCTAGAGAAATTAGGCCTGGCCAACACAGAGCAGGTAGGCAGCGCAATGAATGACATGCACAGGTTTAGTTTGGGGGTCTGTTTCTTAATGCTCTACCTAATAACTCCTTGCAAGGAGAAACCAGCACTGCATATAAAGAACTAGAACCTTCCCAGTGCTAGGGTAGTTTTCCATTCGCAAGGAGTTTTGTTTTGATGGTGGGAGGGCATTCAAAAATGATACTGCACCCATATTCCTGGCTATCCTGAGATAGTGTGAGGAACCACACATACGGGACCAGGGATACCAACCAGTTTTGGGAGCAGGAGAAAACCCCGACACGGTATCCAAATTGGGTGTTCCATCTGGTAAGAGGCCTTTGGCTTGCGCTTTTGCCTCTTCGATGGCGAGCTTTTTCTTCTCTACTCGGCTTTCCAGGATAGCTAGATCAACCTGTGGAAACGGGTGTGTGCTTTAGCAAAATATTGATCTGGCACCTACATAAGAGCATTGCATAGACAGGCTTTCCCCCAAAGGCTTACAATGGAAAATGCGAGGTAAGGCAAAGGAAAAAAACACCAGGCACTTTTAGAGACGTGCTACTGGCAAGGTTACCTTCTTTATTAAGCAATATTGCTATTATTATATGCAGAATTTGGGCTGCTACACAAATCCCAAATCTGTGTGGCAGGGAGGATGGAACAAAATCCTCCAGGTACTCAAGATGAAAAAAGAAGTTTAGATTCTGGTCCCCAGAACTTGGAAAATATGTGCCCTGAAGTCTTAAAAACACGCCAGTGTGCTTTCCCACCCGTTTGAAAAATAAGCAGGACCAACCTTTTTACGTGTGTATAATTGCAAAATTTTCGTGCATATCTCCTGGATTTCCTCTTCCGTAGCTCCAAACAGCAGGAACCAGTGAGGGCGGTTTGGAAGTGGAATCTGTAAGCAAGACACCGTTCACCATTAGTCACCAAAAAACCCCAACCCATTCAAAATCACTCTAAGGATCACTTCACCTTTCAGACAATAATCACTCTCTTAGCCTTTTACTGTTTATAACCAAGGAGATGGGTGGTTGTGAAGGAGTTTAAGTGGTGTGATTTACATCAAGGCAACCTTTCTCCTTAGGTCTGAGCTCCCACTTTCCTTCTGTGTATGAAAGAGGGTACTGAATTGGGAAAGGGGAAAATGTCTACGTAAGTCACCATTTTCCTTCTGCACATGAGAGCAGAAATAAAAAGGCAGCCACTATTAAATCCTCCACATTTGTTCATTAAACACACTCATTGCGGCAGAAAAAACTCCACAAGGATAACATGAGCCAGGTTAACACCAACCTCCAGGGTCCTAGCAGCAAGGTAGATGCAGGCGCAAGCGATGCTCTCGGGGTGGAACCTTACAAAGACATCTGTCCGTAGACTGTCATTCATGTAGTTCCTGAGAAAACAAAGAGGAGGGGGGAAAGTTGCAGAAGTCTGCTGAAATCCCCTGCTTTGGCTATGCTGTTTTTAAGGTACACTGTAGCTAGCTGTCTAGGGCATTCTACAGCTGTTTGAATCCTAGATCATCCTGTGAAACCTGACAAGAAGTTGGAGTGCACAGATTTGACAGGGAGGAACAACTGCCAAGTATTTATTAACTGGATGTTGGCATTTTATGAAAGAGAACCAATTTTAACTTCACTTTTCTCCCTGCTATGAGCTACTGGCCTGTTCTCATGCAAAACAACATCAAAAAGTCATTTTATTTTACGGTAGGCACAACTTTTGAAGCATAATTTGAAGAATTCTGTCAAAATCTACGTTTTATCCCGTCACGCAGAGCGACATGCAAACTTGAAAACGGACAGTCTGAAGTCACAGGTCCGGCTAGAAGTTCTTTGTCGAAGGAACGGGGCTTTTCCTAAGCATTCAGAATCTTCTGTCGCAAGCTTCTTTTGGAGTGACCAGTCTCCACTCAGGAAAGCATCCGACACACAAATCGTTTTTAGAGAGAGCAGGAGAACGCCACAGATATTCAGTTCAGGTGTCTGTTATTGTCACTGCTGAAGGATCAATGTTCTTCAATGGGTTGTCATTGGGCCGCTTCCAGACTGCCCCACTGTAACAAGGTTTCTCAACACAAATGTTCACAGAATGAGGCAACTGTAAAAAATATTGCACTGTAAAAATATTGCACAAAGCCCAGCCAGAACATTTCACGCATTTCTGTGACCTTAAAATGAAAATCTGAAGGATAATTCCTTACAACACACCAAAATGCACAGTGGACAAAACCCAGAATAAAGTTTAAACAGTTGTAAAATGGAATGGGCCTATGGTTTGTGCCTATAATAAAGGTGCAAATTAATATGTGACCAATGTCACTATACCCAATCAGGCTATGCACATAATTGCAACATAATTTGTTCAAAACCAAAGCAGCTGAAGACTATGGAGACTCTGGCTTTGGGTAGCAATGATTTCTAGTCTTCAATTAGCAGGTTTTGAAAAAATGCTATGGTTAATTGGATCCAAAATGTTTCCACTGCCATTTAGACTAACCCAGATGAGCTGGGATTTTGAAGAGTAGGCCAGCCCTTTAAAGGCTTACATCATTCTTTAAAAGTGTTTCAGGGACCTTGAAAGTCCTATTTTAGGTGCAACCAAAGGGACTGCCTGGGTGGTCCTGTATTTATTTCCCCACACTGAACTGCAGTTTCTCACAATATAATCCAAGTTCCAAAAGCATTTGTTATGATGCATGGAGGAAGGAACCCGCTGCAGAAATACATCCAAAGTTTTACTGGATATACAGAAGTAGATATGTGCAGGACCCCAAAACTCACAGTTTAAAAAGTACAACAGAAAAAATCTGAGGTGCTATGAAGTAACATATCTTCTTATTGCAATGCTCATGCTTTCAAGTATGAATTAAGTTTTTAAAAACCCAACCCCACAAAGATTTTAAACCCAAGTTTAATAAGAGAGTCTGTGGTTTTTTTTAAAAAGGGCATAAAATGAGAACAAAGCATCCTGACAGTAACACAGACTTATCTGGAAAATGCACAAATAAAATTTAACAAGTTAAAAAAAAAAATCACAAGCAGCAGTCGGCCAGTTTTAACTCGACTTGTGTACGCATACCACCTGTCTAGAGCCAGCCTTCTCTCTGTGGAGCCTGCTTGGGTTTGACTGAAGACGGCAGTTATCCCTGCACCATAGCGCTTGGGCAGCAGAGGAGAAGTCTTAGTCACTTACCCTCAGAGGCTACCCTTTGATCAAAAGAGTACAGAAAAGAAGAGTCAAAAGAGGTTCTCTTTCAAAACAGCCAGACAGTTTTAGTTAGTAGAAACACAAAGTTTGCTTTCAGGTCAATTTTTACATCATGTCAGTTTTCACAGGTTACCATTTGTCAATGTATGCTTTCTTGGGAGCGCGGGGGTGGGGGGATAGTTAATATAAACCCATATCAAGAAAGGGGCAGATAGACTACATATGGACACAATATATTGCATAAACAATATCAAGAAGCTGAAAACTGTATGAGCAGGGTTGTTTTTACAATAATTTTCAAGTAAAATGATGGCATGGCAGAAGTGTCCACCTCCCCACACTAGGAATGAAGGGGGTAGATCTATGGTTAACCCCTTATTCAGAGGCAGCATACTTCTGAATGACACATGCTGTTGGGCAAACAGGGGAGGGCGGGTGCCTTCACGCCCTGCTCCTGAGCAGTAACTTGAATGGGCAGGAGTAAAAGGAAGAAAGAGCAAAGGGTGCGTTTGTGAGGGTGTAAAGCTCTCTTACCATTTAAGAGTGTCTGAATCTTTAACAAAGAGGCCCGTCAACTTGGGGTGATAGAAGCAGCATTCCAGGCTAAGACTGGAACCATACTCATGCCACGAACATGAGTGGAGGAGAAAAGTACTGACCCCACACATGACATATTTTTGCCACTGCCCCGCTGGCCTCAATAAAAACAAGAAACATCAACTTACCATGAGGTCTGGACCAGGTGTTGGTTACGTTCACATTCTAATACCTGAAGGTACATAACGATTATCTGGAAGATACGGGTGATTGAGTTATACAGGTGATCCAAGTGGTGGAAAGAGGTTTTCATCTAGACAAAGGAGGGTACCCATGCAATGCAGGTTATTCTACTCTGGATCAATGGCCTGATAAGACTCCACAGTGTGTATAAAATGGTAAGAATATGTTTTAGGATGTCAGAGAAGTGGTACTCTTGAGAGTATGTGTGCAGCAAAGCTTCTTTCCTCTGCACTGAAGTCTGCAGACACTGTCCCAAATGTATAATTTTAATCTGCTCACAAGTAGCTCTTATTTTACCCCAATATTATTTGGCAGCTTTCCTTCTTCAGTGCTTGCTTCAAAGATATAGGAATAACAAAGAGGGAAATGGTGGAAGCACTTCTTTACAAAGATTTGTTGCAATGAATTAGTACCACAGGTCAGATTTTCGGGGGGAGGTAGAGAGAAGAGTATATGATCTGCTGAATCAAGACCCAGAACCACAAGTTTTCATTTTTTCAAAAATGGAAAATACAAGAAGTACCAACAAAAGAAGAGAGGCAGATGAAAATGATGGATTCTGGAACTGGCAAAGCTAAAGGAAAAATCCGAAACCAGCATGATCAAGTATTCCAAAAAGACTGGAGTACATTTACAGGATATTTAAAAGATTAATTGTAAGCAATTAACATCACTAGCAGCGTTGTCTGATGACTTGTAATGAGAAATTTTCTCCCTTTTTATATTTATTTAAATTTTGAGTTTTTGGGGTAAGGAATTTATTACAATTGGAAAATGTACAAAATGCAATAATATAAAGGTTAATTATCAAACCCACAAGGCGGGAGGGAAGGAAGTCGAAGGGCTCTAAAGAGCCAGAGACGTAAAGTGCATAATAATGGTGTGATTGTATATTAAATGGAAAACTAAGAAAAATCATTAAAAAAAAAAAAAAAAGACCCAGAACCACCAGGATGTTCCAACAAATGAAGGCAAAAAGATTATAAAGGATGGTGCAGATCTGAGGACTGAAAAAGTCAGAGAAGATGGGAGCCTGCACTACTGGGTTATCATAAGCTTCCACTCATGGTAACCCCACCTACTACTGAAGGGTTCACATTTCCACAGCTGACAGGTGTCAAACCAGATTTAATTAACCTTAGAAAATGCTACAATGTATCCTGCCCATTTTTTAATCCTGCCGTTCCTTTACAGGGCAGAATTCAATCAAGACTTACAATCTTGTTAGGTATGTCAGGTTTTGTAGCATGCCCTGTCCAAGACGATCCAGCAAACCTAAGACATCACCTGGGCTTTAACCTCTTGAGCGTCCTGGGGGAGCCAGCCATGAGTGGCTAATGCTGAAGTAATGATCTGCTTATTGGCAGTTAATTAGACATAAAACTCAAGAGATGCTAGAGTAGTGCCACCTATTAAGTGGGATGTTGTAAGTGACGTACCAGCCATGACTGCACAATTGGGACAAAATAAATTGAAAGCGGCCAACGAAAACTGTCTCCCTGCTTCTTTAAAGTGATAGAACATGTCTCAATTATTTTCAGGGCAAAAAGTAAGCCAAACAGTAAAGCATACAAAGTGGGAGGAACAGAAGCAGCCACCAGTCCTTCTCTGAAGTAGGAACATCTTAGCAACACAAATGTAGTTCTGCACTGTGCCACTTGTAGGGCTGACCCGCCAAAGTCTTATCCACACTACCCAATAGATACACAATGGTGTTGTTACCTGCTTGCACAAGAATAAGCTGCTTTCATGCCAATGACTTTGAATGGAGAACTCAAGCATAGCTAAGTCTAGGCAGCACCTAATACCTGAAGCAACCAGTCTTCATTCACCAAATGAGACAGGATCAACTAGCAGGCAATTCTTGAAATGAGAAACAAAGACTGCTAATGGTTTGGCTACATTAAGAACAGGCTAATTTCTTATCCACTGCTCAAAAGGCAAACTTAAACATACAAAAGAAATACAAACCTTGTGGGGATGCTTCACGTGTACACAAAATCCCAACTCCTTCAGAACTCTCCTCTCAGCCTTTATAATTTGGTTCTTCAAGTTAACGTACTCTTGATCCAGTATCAAAGGTACAGGCTTCCTGGGATTTTTTTTAAGGGGGGGAAATAGAAAAAAAATCAGTTTAAATCCCTCCTACAAAAGTAGAGCAACAATGGACATACCTCAGTGGAATAACACAACTTTGGTGTCTCATGGGAACAGCATGAGAAGATTAAATTTGGACCAGGTTATCCAAGGAACTGGAGAATTGACTGTGGAGACTTTCAAGTCTGTAACTGTCTAGGCAACACTGGCACTGGTCTCCTTTTTGAACCCCAAACTTCCCTCTGGAACAGCCGACTCGTAGGAGTCGTGCAAACTTACTCCAAAAATGACCCCTCTCAAGAAGAAACTACCAAAATCTCGGAGAAGAAGCACTCACCTAAGCAATCTTTCAACCCTTTGAAGTTACAATTTGAAATTGTAAAATTTCACCCGGACACCGCCACTAGTTGAGGATGCAATGAGGGCTGGAAAAGTTGGAACTCACTGAAACTTTATTTCCAATTAGGTTTTTTGGGGGAAGGCGGGGTTCAGGGACATTCTTTGGAGTTGCATGAAATCCTCCGGAGTTTTGGGCAGGGGATAATGCAAGTCACAAATGGCCCTTGAGTAATTGCCACGATCCCTGGAAACAGATACTGTGTGTACTGTGTGAAGGCACACAGTTGGAGTAACAGTTGACTTACTTTTTCTCTCTCAGATACCGAAGTCTGTGGAACACATTAATGACATCTCTTATCCGCCTTGGGGCTTCTTCAATTTTCGATGCCAAGTGAACACAGGCCATCGACACATGCTGTAAAAGAATATGGAACATAGCTAAGTTTTATTCTGATCTCTTACTATCTCCAACAGTTGAAGGAGCAATAACATGCAGAATATGGCCACCAGACTAGTGTAAGCATCTTGTACAAGGAGCTTCACCATGCATTTATGGGCACATTGAGAAAGGGATATGCATTATCTTTGAAAGCCCTGAACAGCTTGGGACCAGGGTGCTTGAAAGACCATCAGTTCAGATTTGACCTTATCAGGGAAGCTCCTTCAGAGAGCTTCTTTTCTATGGCTGAGTCCCAACTGTGGAACTCCCCTCTAAAGGAGAGACCACAAATAGATTTCTGGAACTTTTTGCCTCAAATGCAAACTATGGCAGAAAACCATTTTAAAAAAAGTTTTCTAGAATCTCAGGATTAAGAATCACTATGTTACAGAGATGGCAGAATAGCTTGCAGAATACATTTCAGTGACTAACACTTCAGCACACCTGCTTGGAATAGGTACAGCTGAGATCAATAGGAATTATTCGCAAATCAGTGTGCTAACACTGGGCTAACATGCAGGAAGCTCAGCAAACTAGTTTACCATGCTTAATCAATAAAATCAAATTGATACCAATTATTAATTGAATAGAACAAAGCCCATACCTCCATGGAATGCTTCACAAATGATTTTGTATAAAAGAAACGCTGGAATAACACCTGCCCCGTAGCCATGGCAACCTAAGAAAGAAAAGTGAGACTCCATATTAATATGACAGTAAATACAGTGGTATCTCTGGATGCAATCGGGATCCGTTCCAGAGCCCCGTTTGCATCCTGAGTAGAACACAACCCGTGACTGCGTGTGTCGCGATTTGCCGCTTCCGCACATGCACACAACGTCATTTTGAGCGTCTGTGCATGCGCAAGCAGTGAAACCCGGAAGTAACATGTTCCGTTACTTTCGGGTCGCCACAGAGCGTAACCTGAAAACGCTCAAGCTAAAGCATATTTAACCCAAGGTATGACTGTAGAGATGTTGGAAGGAATGCTAACAGACCACAACTGATTCGGCACCTGTAAGACCACTATAAATGATTTAAGCCCTGACCAATTACAAGCCATGGATATTTAAGAACTGTTGACTATATAGTTGGGGAGGCACATTTATTTCCTTTTATCCCCATACCTTACTTACTTTCTTAGCTCTGCACTAATGCAGCAGTCTGCTAAGGTGTTTTAGGAAATATTTCCTATTCAACATAGCAATATTAATCATACCTACTCCGTAATAAGTCCAGCTAAATTTAATATGGCTTACTCCCAGGTAAGTGGGTTAGGATTGTAGCCCAATACTCCTGCATGGATCCAGAATCCTAGTCACACAGTATAGCTTCTATGTGTGTGACTGCCCTAGTACTGTGAAGCCAAACACTTGCTAGAGGAAAGAAACCGTCACTGAAGACCCTCAAAAGATAACCTTCCTCCTCCACAGATAATGTTTACACCATTTCTATCTTGCTCTTCATCAATTTCATGATACCAGAGTGAATTACAATAAAACAGAAACAGTAACATAATTAAAAAGGGGTGGAGTGAACTCAAAAGAACTTCTCAGTGCTCTGTCAATTGTATGATGGGAAGGTGGGAGTCACAAGTATTTTTAGGTACAAAACTAGCCAAATTGTAACCATCCTCATCCAATGACTGTAACTTGGCTAGTGAGTTTGAAACATTTGCTTGGTGTTAATACAGGTCTTCAGACCATACAAAGTTTATCCGCCCACAATGCTTTGCTCATCTAAGCTTCCCCCCAAAGAGCCAGCTGTTAAATTTAAGAGCTAAATGAAAGAGATCGTAGTTCCTCCTCAAAACTAGGCAACACAGTCCTTTCAAAAGCCAATCAATGAGCACAAAACATTTGATCAGAGGCAGTCCAGAAGGAGAAACCAAGAACAGATTCCTCTAAAAACATGAGAACAAAAACAAGTCGCTTAGATACAAGGCAAGATGAATCAGCCACAGTGAACTCGTCACAGTTTCAGCATCAGAGAAATGTTACCAAAAACTCTTCTAGTTTGAACAGAAAAAAACACCACCACATCCTCCTCAAAAGGGTGGTAACCAGCAGGCTTGCCGGAATGTCTTGGCAAACATACAAGACTAGCAAGGGAGGGGATAGCGTCATTTCCGGGCAAGACCTGTTACATCACTCATTTCCTGGAATAGAACTACGGGCTTGCGAACCTCCTCCATTAAGCCATTTCCCTCTCTGCCTTCCTCCTTTTCTTGGGACACTGAAATCCCCATGCCAGGGTGGGAAGGAGTCCTTATCAGAATCTTTAAGATCTACTCATCCTTGGCAGCCTAGGGTCCTCAGTTCTAGGGCTCAACAGTCCCGGAGGAAGAACAACACCCCCCCTCCAGTGCTAGTGAGGGAAACTGAACAAAGCAGCAAATCCAATTAACCACCTTTCTCCTATTCTCCAAACATTTACATCCAAAACATGGGAGTTCTAGTCAGCAGGCTTTCCTTTATCAAGACCAGGTCAGACAGTCTCAAACAGTGCTTCTCCAAGTTGCTTTCCTTGCTTTTGGAAAAGACCACCAACTCTTCTTTTCCCTTAAAATACAGCAGCTTCTTAGGAACCCTCCCAACTGAAGCCCCAGCATAAAGCACAATTGTAACAGTACATTATATCTACTGCATCTGTGTATTATATAGCTTATATAAAAAAGTACACAAACATATTACACACATAATGCTAACTTGTTTTCTCCAGAAAGCCATCAAACTACTCTTCCAAAATGGTTTCTGCTTGGGGAAATTGTGTTATAACCCCTGCCCCAACAACACAATTCTACCACCTCTCAGCAAGCTTTAAAAAAGGCCCTATGTTCAATTTTTAATGTAAATCCTACCTCATTACACAAACACACACTCCTCCCTATAGAACTCTTTTCCTTTAAGAACATCCTGCCCCAATCCCAGATCCAAAGCATCAGTCAGTCCATGTATTACAGCATTATCCTCCCAACAATATCTGTCTAGTTTATAGTGAAAACCATTATTTGTAAATTGGCATCCAGCTCTTAGTATCCAGTTATACTGCCTCTGGGCATAGAGGTTCCACTAAGCTATCAGTGCCAAGAACTAACGACAGACCTGCACACCATGTATCTATCCAAATCCTTACCCCCCAGCAAAAAAAATCTAGATGTGCCTTGCTTTGCCAGCCCAATGGTTCATTTAGTCTAATGTTCTGTTTGACACAGCAGTCAACCAGCTGCCCATGAATTCCTCCTGTTCATGAATCCAGCCTTCATAATTTTATTTAATCCATTACAGGAAACAGTCTTTCTGTATCTGTCCAAAGATCCACCTAGTTTGGTAGCCAGTTTCCAACTGTGACCAATCAAATACTTCCAGAAACTACATAAGCAAGGGAGAGCAAGAGTCCTCTCCCCTGGGGGCTCCACTTTGCTCTGGATGCAAAAGCCCCACTTTTGCTTCCATGACTTGGATACCACCCACGAACCTGAGAGTTTTGATGCAGACATCATGACTACCAGGCAAATTCATGAAGGTTGCTTAATGCTATAAAATAACTTGTTAAATTACCACAGACTTATCCTCCAAAAGTCAAAAATTGCCTTGATGAATCAAGCCAGAGGTCCTATTAAATCCACTCTCCTCCTTGAATAAGTCACACTCAGAAAAGGGTGTGTGTGATGGTGTACTATTCCAGTCCAGAATGGACAGAACAACCTGGTATATGACTATTTTCTTTGATGAATTCAACACCAATGTTAACAACAAAGTATTGTATTGTAACACCTTAAATGGTAAATATTGGATCCAGATGAAATTAGTTGTGCTTAGGTTCCAACTGATTTCAATGGAACTAAGTTCTGGATCTAGCTCCAGAAGTTCTAGGAGAATACTTTTTCTAGTCTTTTGAAGTGTCACAGGTCTCTGTTGCTTTTGCTGCAACAGATTAACAAGGCTACCCCTCTCAAAAAAGCTCATTCTGTTGCCAGGTACATCCAAAGGATCAGAGGAAAGCTAAGGTGCCCAGAAAGAGAAGTGGGGTGGGGAATAAAAACAGAGAAGCTTGAACTTTATTGCTCTCTATAATAGGCTTCTCCACTTTTTACTGGGTATGTATTAATATATTTAGACACACTGGAGAGTCATGCTTTTTAATCATATATATAGCATGGTAGCACTTTTATTGTAAAATAAACTAGCTGCAATAATTAGCTAAAAGAAATCCAGTGTGGTGGTATAGTGTGGCTGGACTATTAAACTTGGACCAGGCCAGAAAGACCCAGGCTCTAATTTCCATTCAATGAAATCACTGAGTGACCTTGGGCCAGAAACTTTCTAACCTACCTCATTTTACTGCTGTAAGGAGGCAGGATAGAAATATAGTGATTCTTTATCTAAAGCTGTCGGTATCTTCCCAGGAAGAACGGAACTTTCTCACAGCTGTATAAAAACATACTACTAACAACGACCCAGGCTTTGAGAACACAGAGCTATGCAATATCTATACTACTACTATCTAAAAACTCACCAAATAACACTGCAGCTTTTCAGTTTGCCAGAACACTTTCCATCAGGTGAGATGGTATAAAAAGCAGGAGCTTCGGGGAGGGGGCAGAAAATGAATAAAGAAAGGAGGGATGGGATGGGACAGCACCTAGAGTTTCATTACGGAAGGAAAAAAGAATTCCCCCTCCACAATTATTGTACACTTTTCCAACTTATGAAGACGCTAAAGAAAATAGCTTACTTTTTATCATATAAATGCATACATATGTACAAAAGCCACAGTACATTACCTTTACCTGCAATTCTCTTACATTGACTTCTGGATAGACTTGTGAAGCTACCTGAATGACTCAAAGGCAAGATACATATTTTTTTTTGTATGAACTAAATACGAACTAAGTTATAAAAATAAAAGCGCTGGATCCTGAAGCCTCGATGTCTAGATTCAGATAGGACGAAAAACAACACCACGACAGATACACGCTCAGAATCTCTAACAGGTTCTTTTCCAACCGTCTTCCAGAACCTTCCAACTGCCCTCAACCGCCCAACGAAGCCCCCTCCCGGTTCTCTCTGACCTTTTCTCTCCTTTTTCTTCCCCGGCCCTCCTTAATCCCATTTCAAGGCCTCCCTTCCAGAGGCGAGTGCGGCCTAGGCCTTAGGTTTAGGCCTAGCGCTCGCTCGCTCCTTCCGCACCTGAGGAAGCCGCAACAGGATCCCGGCGGCCTGGATGAGCTCACAGCCGGTGACTCGGAGCTGAGCCTCGGTCTCGGCGTCCAGGCCGCTGCTCATGGAAGGCGTGAAGCGGAGGGCGTCGGCCGACAGAAGGCAGTTTTCCAGCGTGATGAGGACCCCCGAGTACAGCCGGTCGCCGATGCGGACCGCGCCGGGGGGCGGAGGGAGAGCCGGAGGAGGAAGGGCTGGCGGGCAGTAGCCGCCGGAGGACGACGACGAGGACGACGACGACGCCACCGCTGAGCCGGCGAGGCCGGGCCCTACCGTCGCCAGCGCCGCTGCTCCTCCCGCGGCCGCCATTATCGCCGCCATCTTGTCTCGACGTCGCTCCCCTCAGACTGACTCACTTCGCCGCCGCCTCCAAACCCCCGTCTGCGCCTACGTCACGCGCAAACCTTTTGTCTCCCCACCTCCTCCTCCTCATTGGCCAGCCGCAAAGACGCGCGTCCTCCTATTGGGCGAAAGCGCCGGCTTTTTCCGTTGTGACGCAACGGTTGGGAATTCAACCGTCTCAGAACGAGGCGGGTGAAGGTACGTTAGGGAAATGGAAGAAAGGCAAAGTTTTCCCGGCATGCGCTACGCGCACTCTCTGGCACGGCTGGCTCACGTTGGGTTGTACCACTTCAGAGTGAAGGGGGGAAAAGAGTTTAAATAATTACGGTTTTTATCCTCTTTTTAATTTTTTTTAAAAAACCCTCCGATAGAAAATCACCATGTCATGAAAAAAACCTGGCACTTACTTTTAAAAAACACAGGTGAGATTACCACCTCGTACTTTGAAGTGGTACAGTCCAGGTTACGTCAGGCGAGAGAACAGGGCCCAAAATGCTCCCTTGCCTCAGTTGCGTCAATGCCGGAATCGACCACTCTCGACTCGAGCTAAAAACAAAGGAAGCTTAGGGTTGTACCCAACTAAGTGTTATTCCGAGTAGACCTACTGAAATTGGTGCGCCTAAATCAATCATGGCCATTATCTTCAATGGTTCTGCTCTGAAGAGGACTGTTTGCCACAACACTGGTTTTCCTGCCTTGTCCTCAAATTTGTTTTAACACAGAAATTGAACCTGTTTCCAACTTCGAAATTTGGAGAGGGACCAAAGTTCCCCTTCGTTTTCAATTTGGCTTTTAGACAGCAGTCCTACACAGACACTCTTACTAGGGAGGAAATCCTACCAACAGGAGTGGGACTTCTCGGTGGGCATGCCTTTAAAAGCTGAACTCTTAAAATACTCCATTAGTAATGTTGCAATCCTATACACACTTTAAGGGCAAGCCCCTACTCAGCATTGGATTTATTTATGGGGTGGGCAATTCCCCCCCACCCCAGGTGCTGAGCCGAAAGGGAGCATCATCATCATAAATAATAATAAAACCAGTAGTTATACTGGTACCTACTGAGAAGGCCCATTTAAAACAACAACTGCACCAAGTTCCTACCAGAGAGCAATGGCAAACTAAACTGTCAGATTGTGCCAAAATGTCAAAACTGACCGGAAAGCTCAGGAACCAAGAAGACAAAAACTTCCAGAAAGAATGAGAAAAATTTAAAATTTATTTAGGAGACTGCTGTAAGCAGATGAAAACATTAGCAGGATTTTAATCTCACTTGTAATGTAACAAATACTATGAATAATATGGATATATATATAATAAATATATATAAAATATATTTGACCAAACTGCGGGAGGCAGTGGAAGACAGAAGTGCCTGGTCCATGGGGTCACGAAGAGTCGGACATGACTAAACGACTAAACAACAACAACAACATGCATGAAAATGCCAACATTAAGACCTGCAGAGATGGAGGGAGGTCTTGAGATTCAGAGAAATCTTTGTATATGGAAATGTATTTGGTTTTGTTATAAATTTATATTTGTAAAATCAAATAAAAATGATTTTTTTAAAACAAACAAACAAACAAACAACTGCACCAGAAGGAATTATTGTGAAAATAAGAAATAATTAGTGGGCATGCCAAATATTGCCCTTGCTCAGGGTGCCATATTACCAAAGTCTGCCCACCCCTGTCTTTGAACTCAATCTAGGAAAAATATTACTTCCAAGGACAAGGGGAGTAAGGATTGCTGCATTCTTATCCACTGGGTAGTGTTATGAGAAAAAACCTGCTCCTTTTCCCTTATGGGGTACCCAAGAGCCAATATAGAGTCCTTTTGTAGGTTCTCTTTCAGTAGGAGAAAATAACAGACCAACCAGAGAATACTGAGAAGCAAAGCAGCTAGTAAGCCTGATTTTTATTAAACTGTTGCAACAGGGTCCTCGCTCACCACAAGCAGGAAAGAGGAGAAACCCAAAACAAAGGTGTGCCTGCCCTCATACTGACTTTTTAAATTGCCCACTCTCAAAGTCCAGACCACTCCCAGAAACATCATACATACATCACAGGAGAGTGTATCCCAGGACCACCTCCCCCAATGCATCATACATACACCACAGGGGGTCTGGCAGGTTACCTGATTGCATTATCTGGGTTTTGGCCACTCTTTTGTTATTATAACTACTTAATTCCTGAATCCAGGTCACAGTTCACAGGCTCACCCTATTCACACTTTAAATGTGCCCTTAAGGAAGGATTTGTGAGCACAGAGACAATGGTGTTTTTTTTTTCCATTTCCTTTGATCTTGCAGAGACATATTTGAGGTCATTTTGGGAGAGAGAAAATGGTTTCAGGACTTTACTTTGATTTTCAGACAGGTGGCTTCATATTTGTATGTGTTTGCTTGGCACATTTATGAACATCTATTTTATATATATATATATATATATATATATATATATATATATATATATATAAGACCTTAAAATTCTTACAACAGTAGATTGTGTATTTCTGTCATTTATTTATTTTGAAAATGTAGATGCACACACACATGCCCTTCCCCAATGCATATGCAATCCCTAAAGCAGCTTAAAACAGCAATTAAAACAATCCCATAAAAGAAATCAATTAAAACAACCCCAGAAAAGAAATCAAACACCTTAAGATTAGAAACAGTCTTGTCAGATACAAGCAACATTCGGATTTTGTGTAACAGGAAAGTTTTAACCAATCTGTTGTAAGAGGATGTCAGATGGATTTCATGCGTAAGGCGGAAAAGATTCATGCATGTAGCAAAGTGATGAATGAGAGGTCACTCTAAAGAGGAAATGTATCTCCCCCCCAAAAAAATAGAGCAGATCTGCATAAAATTAGCACTAGCTAATTTATATGTATAGATGCAAATTTAGAAAACAGGATGGAATTTAAGAACGCAAGGAACAGTATCTCACCATAGTGTTAGAAGACCATGCCCTGCTCATCTGTGTTAATTAATTGCTGACAGGCAACTTTGAAGTCCACCTTCCTTGAACCCCTTTACTCTTTATTTCTTCAGCCGGACAAACCTTCAAATAGAGGAATGTCCTACATAAAGTAAGACCCATGCCTATCTTAATCATGTCTCAGTCCCAGGCAGGACAGTAGACAGTTGGAGGACAGGTCGGTATACAATCAGATAAAGGTATCATGGATCGAAGCAATTTACCTTTAAAGCCCTTTTCACTAATGCAGTGGGGCTTATGCGAAGTACACCTTTATCAGCTTGTGCGTTAAAGAGCAGTAAATTCAATATTCATTGGGTAAACTTCAAAACAAAAATCAATTTTCTGCAACATTTTTACATCCCCCGCACTGGCAAGAATTTGACTGCCCCAGGTAGAAACTCAGACCCCAGTCTAGCTACCAAAGAAAATTAAGAACTTTGATTAATTTATGTCAATCTTTTCATGTGAGGCAGGGAAATCAGAGGACCGTGGACCACGGAAGCTTACACCATAAAACCAGTTTTTAAGGGGCCACAAGTCTCTTGTTTTTGCTGCACAGAAATTGTTAGAGGTTTTGTTTGTATATTGCTTATGAAGATTGTGACACTCCAGAGCAAGGCACTGTGCACATTTATGACGGAGTCTCATGGCCCCTTCAATACTAGGGGACGACAAAGTTATACAAACTTTGTTGAGAATAAGTCCTACTGAACTCAGAAGGACCTACTTCTGAATAAAAAAGCAGGTCAGGTCATAGCAGAATCTGCTCATTGTTTAATGTTTCTCATAAAATACTAGATTTATTTATTTTTAATGCAAAGAAGCAATATGTCTTCAGATGGGTTTATTTTAAACCCTTTATTTTAAAAGATTTTTAAAAAGGAAAGGTGCTGTGCTCATAAATCACCAAGGCCCAGTGTATCTGTTTAAAAATACCACAGTTGCATATTCACACCTGTATACATTCTGCATATGCTCAGAAATAAGTTGAGGAGCTGTATCTGCTATAGATATTTTGGAAAGTTGTTAGACACCTCTTAAGATATGGTAATGAATTTTGCACGATGGCTCCCAAGATCAAGTAGCAGGTAGATCATCTGCCTTCCATGCACAAGGTCCCAGGTTCAATCTCCAGCATTGACAGACAAGATGGGGAGAAACTCCTGTCCGAAACCCTGGAGGGCTGCTGCCAGTCAGTGCAGACAACACTGAACTACACTGACCAATCATCGGATTCAGTATAAGGCAGCTTCCTACTTACTGAACTGTCAGTGGGCAGAGCCTCACACTCCATTAGCCTTTTGCCCAGTTGAAAACCAAGGCAAGAATTAAAAAATTAATTGCCAGGCACAGGTTCTTCATACACAAACACACAAATGACTTCTGCAGACCGGGTTATAATCCATACACCTTAAAACGCAATGAAGAGAATCTCTGTCGCCTCAACAAATCACAAATCAAACTGGGTTGATTATGAGGGTTTGGAAAGAACTAATTTTGGATCACAGATTGAGACAGAATATATTTTTTAGTATAAATATTCCTGTTTTAATACTAGCACAACTCTACAAGCCAGCAGCAATCCCCTGCTTCATGTACATCTCACAATGCGTGAAAATATCCCTTCGGGTTCCTTTCCACCTCCCCGGGCGGCAAGAAGGCCTTCTTGTCCTCTCCTCTTGGCTAAAGAGGCTAAGGACTTGAACGTCTTCGGCTCGTAGATCGCCAGGTCGGCCAGCGTTTTCCGGTTCAGTTCCACTTGACACTGAAATATGGAAAAAAAGAAGAGAAGGGAAACTTAAGAGGCAACTCAACCTTTCTGGAAGTAGATAAAGTACGGCAGGAAGCTGTTGATACGGGTTTATACCACAGTTCCTCCAAGGAGCTCAAGTTGACAATACATGTGTCAGGGATCTGTTTGCAGGGGAGGGGGGAGAGACAGGAACATACAGAGAGCCTCCTCCTCTGTTGAGCAGCTGCACTTTGTCAGAGTCTGGGGAGGGGGAGTTTCCAGGAGACACGGAAGACGAGAGAAAGGGGAGCCAAAAATTTGCTACCAGGGAAGGGAATGTGCAGCTTCCGTCGCATAATAATAATAATAATAATAATTTATTATTTATACCCTGCCCATCTGGCTGAGTTTCCCCAGCCACTCTGGGCGGCTCCCAATCAAGTGTTAAAAACAGTACAGCGTTAAATATTAAAAACTTCCCTGAACAGGGCTGCCTTCAGATGTCTTTTAAAGATAGGATAGCTGCTTATTTCCTTCACATCTGAAGGGAGGGTGTTCCACAGGGCGGGCGCCACTACCGAGAAGGCCCTCTGTCTGGTTCCCTGTAACCTCACTTCTCGCAATGAGGGAACTGCCAGAAGGCCCTCGGCACTGGATCTCAGTGTCCGGGCAGAACAATGGAGGTGGAGACGCTCCTTCAGGTATACAGAACCGAGGCCATTTAGAGCTTTAAAGGTCAGCACCAACACTTTGAATTGTGCTCGGAAACGTACTGGGAGCCAGATCTCTCAGAACCATAAGATCTCCCACGCAAGGAAAAAAGGCGGAGAGGGGGTTTTCCCTGTTTTCTGTGCTGGAGGGGAAATAGGAAGAAGGCACTTCCGGATTCTGCTAGCGATTGAGGCAGACATGGTTTTGAAACTTCTGCACTGTATATAAGTTTTGCACTCAATAAAACCTGAAAAGACAGGCTGTTATCTTCGCAAGCATCCACACTCCTTTCTGACAACATGGTTCTTTCCCTCTTACCCTCAACAACACCCCAGTGAGGTAGGCTGTGAACGGTGACTGGCTCAAGGTCACCCAGAGAGCATCATGGCCGTGTGGAGGTTTGAACCATGGTCTCCTGGGTCTTAGGCCAACACTCCAGCCATTATCCAGCACTCAGCCTAGCTGGAACCCGGTGTGAGTAGCAGAAAGAGCCTGAGGCAATAGTACAACATCTGCTTTGTAGGCACAAGGTCCCGGGTTCAATTCCAGGCATCTCCAGGTAAGGAAGGAAGAGGCTCCCTGTCTGAAACCCTGCAGAGGTGCTGCCAGTCCGTGTAGACATTACTGACTTAGATGGGCCTATGATCTGACTCAATATAAGGCAGCTTCCTATGTTTCCCAAAGTGTGGGAAACTAAAAAGCAAATTTTATTTTATTAAAAAAGGTTGTGGGGAAAGGAGAGAGGGAAACACACAGAACTTGCAGATAGCAAATTAAACGCAGCCTGTTATGGCCCAATAGGTGCCTAGCAACTCATGCATTTTTGCACAACGCCATTTTCATTTTTGCAGCTCCGGCTTGCTGTTTATCAAGCCCAGGGGTCAGCAAACTTTTTCAGTAGGGGGCCGGTCCACTGTCCCTCAGCCTTGTGGGGGGGCTGGACTATTTTTGGAGGAAAAAATGAACGAATTCCTACGCCCCACAAATAGCCCAGAGGTGCATTTTAAATAAAAGCACACATTCTACTCATGTAAAAGCACGCTGATTCCCAGGCCGTCTGCGGGCCGGATTTAGAAGGCGATTGGGCCAGATCCAGCCCCCGAGCCTTAGTTTGCCTACCCATGATCAAGCCCTTTGCTCAACTGTCATTTGTGGCTTTTGGGCTCATCAAGGGAGGTGGTGGTGGTCCAAAAGGGCTATTACAGAAGCAGGCTGTATGCTAAGGAAGGGGTGAGGTAAAGCCACTTACCTGGGAGAGACCGCCACGGAAAACGTGGTACTTCAGACCATGCTCAAGCGATGCTGCTTCGATCCTGGTTTGCCAAAGCTGAAAGCAGAAACGGGAGCGTTCAGAGATACGTTTACTAAGGCAGCCATGTTTCTCTGGGCTGATCTAATGCGGATGTGGGGGGGGACTTTTTCCAGCCTGATGGGCCGCATACCCTTCTGGAAAACCGTCCAGGGACCACATGCCAGTGGTGGGTGGGACCAGAGCCAAAAGGGGGCGGGGCATCAAATGTAATTTTTACTTCCATGTGGCAGACTACATACACCCCTCCATCCATCCAATCAAACAAGAAACATTATCAGGGTTTAAGGACACATCCCAGTTGGCCAAAAGCACTCAAGGGGGGTAAAAAGTAGGACAAGTGAGGGGCGTGTTCTGGGGAAAGGGGGTGTGGCTTGGGAAGCGTTCCGAGGGCCAGATAGAGGTACAGAGGGCCACATTTGGCACCCAGGGCTGACCAGTCTTTTAAAAACACCTTCAATTAAGTAAAAAAGAAACCTGTTCCGTCAAAGTATACATTTTGCATTTCTTTCAATAAATGCAATTATTATTCACTGAATTTCTATACCGCCCTATACCCAGAGGTCTCAGGGCAGTTCACAGAAAAGATCAACATAAAAACCACAATATATAATCAAAATAAAAACAACAACCCAATAACCCCCCCCCCCAAAAGGAGCCACATTTTAACAGGATGTCAATCAGATCAACCAAAGGTCTGGTTAAAAAGGAACGTCTTTGCCTGGCACCTAAAAGTGTATAATGAAGGCGCCAGGCGAACTTCCCTGGGGAGAGCATTCCACTGCAGAGAAGGCCCGTTTTTGTGTTGCCCCCCTCCACACCTCTCAAAGAGGCTGCTACTGATTTGGACTGGTAGGTGAGAAGGCCAGGAGGCCGACAGTAGGTGGCGCCAGAGCCAAGGGCAGGCACAGACGGAGATGAGAATGGAGGGAGCCAACTCTTTTCTGGTTTCATCTCCAGCCGCCCTGCTGAAATCTACAAAGGCAACACTGAAATGGAGGTGGATGAGACACAGGCCCACCTAGCCCAACAGTTGCCATTAATTTGATTCTGAATTGATTTTAGAATGTATTTTAATTAATTGATTGTGATTTTATGTAAACTGTGCTATTTTTATTGTTGTTAGCCGCTCTGAGCCCAGCTTTGGCTGGGGAGGGCGGGATATAAATAACTTTTTAAAATTATTATTATTATATTATTATTATTATCTAGGTGAGTGGTGGTGAGTAAGGAGGCAGGTAGGCAGGTTCTGCTGGAAGGCAAACCGAGACTGATGGGGCAGCTCTAATGGACCAGCCTCCAATGAAGGACTGTGCTATAGTTTCTCACCCATAGAGAGAGAGTGAACACAGCAAGCAAACCACCCCTTAATCGGGCCTGCGCAAATTTCGCTGAGTTACGGGAACGCGCAAACCTCACAAACGGAGCGGCGTTTCTAGCCGCCATCTTTACCATTCTCATGTCCTTCTTTTTCCGCTGTCTGGCCTTCGTGGCGTACATGAAAGCCCTCTGGACGGCGCGGACGGCCAAGCTGTAGCAACGGTTCTTTCGCCCACGAAAATGCTGGAAAGGCAAAACACACAACACACTAAAAACAAAATACCCAAATGGTCTTCCGTTAAGGGAAGAAGGTTATCTCCTCTCACCTTGCACTTCCTCGTCGCAGAACCCTGAATATTCTGCAATTCCCAGAGCTACAATTCCCACCCGCTTAATAAATTACATCCCCAGGATTCTTTGGGAGAAATAAGGAGCTCTGGGTGTCATGGCCGTTGCAGGACACCAAATGTTTTGACGTATCCTAATAGGAGAGGCGGTTCTGGTTGCCCTTTTAGGATTCGCCTGCAGAATACTGTGGAGAGGGGCATTTTCCAACTTCCTTTTGGGGAAAGAAAACCATAGGGTTGCAGCCAATGCTAGTCATACTCAGAGTAGACCCACTGAAAGGAAGGAACCTAAATCATGTCTGTCTATTAGCTGGTTTTAGTACAGTGGTACCTCGGGTTACATACGCTTCAGGTTACATACGCTTCAGGTTACAGACTCCGCTAACCCAGAAATAGTGCTTCAGGTTAAGAACTTTGCTTCAGGATGAGAACAGAAATTGTTCCGGCGGCGGAGCAGCAGCAGCAGGAGGCCCCATTAGCTAAAGTGGTGCTTCAGGTTAAGAACAGCTTCAGGTTAAGTACGGACCTCTGGAACGAATTACCGTATTTTTCGCCCCATAGGGCGCACCGCCCCATAGGACCCACCTAGGTTTTTTTGGGGGGGGAAATAAAGAAAAAAAAATTTATTTCCCCCCCAGGCGCGGGGCTGGCGCGGGGGAAGCCCGAGCTTCCCCCGACCCCAGAACAGGCTGCTATCCGCAAGCCTAGGAAGCCTGGTGCGAAGTCGCGCTGGTCTCCCCAGGCTTGCGGAGAGGTGCGCGAAGCCCGGGCGCGCTCTTCAGCGCGTCCCAGGCTTCGGAATGCAGGCACCTCCGTGCAGCCGACGGGAGCCCGGCGCGAAGTCGCGCCGGGCTCCCGTGGGCTGCGCAGAGCTTCCTGAAGCCTGGAGAGCGAGTGGGGTCAGTGCGCCCCGACCCCTCTCGCTCTCCAGGATTCAGCGAAAGCCTGCATTCGCCCCATAGGACGCACACACATTTCCCCTTCATTTTTGGAGGGGAAAAAGTGCGTCCTATAGGGCGAAAAATACGGTAAGTACTTAACCCCAGGTACCACTGTATTTAAATGGTGCTTCTACGTTGCTTTGGGTGACTTTTTTTGAGCAAGTTGACCAATAAATATAAAGCATAATAATATTAACTACAGTGGGTCTTCTGTGAGTAAGGACTAGAATTGGATACCGCCCGCCCATGTGTTATTATTATTTTAAAGAAAAAAACAATGTCAAATTCAATGTCAATGCAAAGTGCATTAAAATAAATTACCTCCACCCAAAAACCGCCTTGGAAAAGGAAGTTTTAGTATGTGTTGCTAATCTCCTACATCCTTTTTTTGACCATCTCAGATCTTTTCAATAGAGAAGGGACTGGTGGAAGAAATATTGAGGACTCAAGAAGAATGACAACACCATGCAATGAGTGAAATAAATAGGCAAACACACTGAAGAATTAAAAAAAAGAAAAGATATTACAATGTCCTATATTATCTGGTGCTTCTTGCAAAGTGAACTAAGCAGACAAAAGAGAGGACTGCCTCCAATGCTAATGCTAATAATAATAATAATAATAAAGTTGTTTGTTTGTTTGTTGTTGTTGTTGTTGTTATTATTATTAATTGTTATTATTTCAGCCCCTAAAACAGTCCTGCGAGGACGGCTCGGCTTAGAGGCTCGGCCCAAGGTCACCCCCCCAGGGACCTTCCGACACTCCCGTTAATTTCGACGGGTCTACTGGGAGCAGGGCTTACTCGGAACACAGACCAGGAAGCAGGCCTACCCACCGCAGAAGCTAGTAAATGAATGGATTCACGTGGGCAGCGAGGAAACAGGCTGCAAAAGGGCAAAGGAGCTGGGGAGGGCAATAGGGTGGGCGTTATGGGGAGGGGGGAGCAGGGCACCGATCCCCAGTTCTTACCCGTGCATGCTTCAGCACCTCCTGCTTCCGCCAAAAGCGATCGGTCAAACGGGCCCGGACCCAAAGGCTGGCCGTTAGGAAAACCATCCCAGCCCGCTTTTCCCCACCGTCTCCTCCTCCTCCTCCTCGGATTTGCAAGGAGGAGAAGCAAGGGCGGAAGCCACGCGGTGCAAACTGCAAGGCTTCCCTTCCGGGCTTGCAAACAGCGGCGATTTGCAACGCTGTGCAAAGGGAGAGTCGAAGAGGCTGAAGGCAAGCGCGCGCCCCCTGCCTTCCGCTTCTCTTTGGGACTCCCTTTTATGGGGTGAGGGGTATGGCGCGGGTCTCCATCGAAATCAAAAGAACAGAAAACAAGACGCACCCTCTCTTTGGAGCACCAAAGAGCGCCCCCCAAATATAGGAACGGTAGTTTTGTTAAGGGTGCTGGGAACTGTAGCTCGCTGAAGCTGCTGTTCTCTGCGGGTTTTGTTGGCAGGGAAAGGAACGTGTTCTAAATGTATTGTGTTTTAGGCTGCCAAGAGTCTTGTAATACTATGCTTTCTCCCACCTCGGTCCTGGGAACTGTAGTTTACCCGTCCCAGAGCTACAGTTCCCAGCACCCTACAATTTCTAGGATTCTTCGGGTGGGGGAAGTACTGTGTACTAAATGTATGGTACAGTGGTAGCTTGGGTTATGTACGCTTCAGGTTACAGATTCCACTAACCCAGAAATAGTACCTCGGGTTAAGAACTTTGCTTCAGGATGAGAACAGAAATTGTGCTCCGGCGGCGTGACGGCAGCAGGAGGCCCCATTAGCTAAAGTGGTGCTTCAGGTTAAGAACAGTTTCAGGTTAAGAACGGACCTCTGGAATGAATTAAGTACTTAACCCGAGGTACCACTGTATTTAGGGAGTCAAGCGTCTCGTAATGCTATGCATTGCCCTACCTCCGCCCTGGGAACTGTAGTTTACCCCCTCCCAGAGCTACAGTTCCCGGCACCCATAGAAACTATACAGTTCCCAGGATGTGCTTTAAACGCATGAAATGAAGTTGTTGGGGCATCTTAAAGACTAAGGGTTGTTTCCAGGTCACTGAGGCAAAGATTGTATGCAGCGCCAGTCGCACTCGGAATACAGTAGACCCATTGAAATAAAAATATCTAAAAAGGAAACAAATAAAATTATTATCTATACCCATTTAAATCAATAGTCCTGACATTAATGTCAATTAATATCTACTCTGGGCAGGATTAATTTTGGGCACAGCCCTAGCCCCACTTACCTGGGAGCAAGTCTCACTGGATTAACAAGGCTTACTTCTGAGTAGACATAGGAATGCACCACAAGGGTTGCAAGCCAGCGTTTGTCAGAGTAGATCCCCTGAAAGGACTGTCTGGCGTAATGTAGTCCGAAGTGTGTCTTGTTGGGGATTTTGCCACTTACACACCCATTTTCCCTCAGATTATGGTTGCCTCCCAGCCATCATGGCTAGTAGCCACTCATCATCTTAAAGGTAAAGAGGTAAAGAGCCCCTGACCATTAGGTCCAGTCGAGACTGACTCTGGGGTTGCAGTACTCATCTCGCTTTATTGGCCGAGGGAGCCAGCGTACAGCTTCCGGGTCATGTGGCCAGCATGACTGAGCCGCTTCTGGTGAACCAGAGCAGCGCACGGAAACACCGTTTACCTTCCCACTGGAGCGGTACCTATTTATCTACTTGCACTTTGACGTGCTTTCGAACTGCTAGGTTGGCAGGAGCAGGGACCGAGCAACGGGAGCTCATCCCGTCGCGGGGATTCGAACCGCTGACCTTCTGATTGGCAAGTCCTACGCTCTGTGGTTTAACCCACAGCACCACCCGCATCCCTTCTTACCTTCCATGAAAAGCTTATGCTTTTGGAAGAGGCAGGACATAGGCAGCTGTGGCAGTCATGTTTTCGCCAAATTTCTGACATCTTCCGATTCACTTGAAAATGGTGCCAAACACCTGCAATTCAGCCCCTGCACCGTTTGCGGTGCCAATCCCATGTTTCATGGTAGCCCATAAAATGAGCCCTCAGCGTCCTAACCCACTGGGTCACTGTTTTGCCAAAAACCCAACGTTGTCCAATTAACTCAAAAATGGACGGAGGGGTAAACTATAGTGCTGTACTGACTGAGTTATCAGACATAGTTCATATATAACCAATCTGTCCATTTCCATCCTCCATTTCCCATCTCCCCAATCTTAAATTCAGTTTTCCACATTCATGCAGCAATTTCCTACTTATTTATGTGTTTATTTTTAAAATCCTCGTGGAAATCCGAAAGCATTTTCATGCTAATTTCTCCCAATAAACACAGTTTTGCTAAATTTCCCCTTACACATCTGTGTATGCTGACTTTGCTAACGCATTTTATTCATATATATTTTCAAAAATGCATGCTCTCCCGTAATGTCTGTGTTTTTGTAAACATTGCTCGGTTGGAGAACCGCATGGCAAAATTCAGAGAAGTGCAAATTCTGAAGGATGCCTGTGGTTTGGTCTGCGTATTGTTCCGGAAAGTGTGAATTTGGTAAGGTAAAGGTAAAGGGACCCCTGACCATTAGGTCCAGTCGCGAACGACTCTGGGGTTGTGGCACTCATCTCGCTTTATTGGCCGAGGGAACCGGCGTACAGCTTCCAGGTCATGTGGCCAGCATGACTAAGCCACTTCTGGAGAGCCAGAGCAGCACACAGAAACGCCGTTTACCTTCCCGCCTGAGCGGTACCTATTTATCTACTTGCACTTTGACGTACTTTCGAACTGCTAGGTTGGCAGGAGCAGGGACCGAGCAACGGGAGCTTACTCCGTCACGGGGATTTGAACCGCTGACCTTCTGATTGGCAATTCATAGGCTCTGTGGTTTAACCCACAGTGCCACCCGCATCCCTTGTGAATTTGGTAGGTTCCCCTTTAAATGCCAAGTGAATCAATTCTCTTCCCCAAACTCCACCAGGGAATCCCTTTGCTATCATCATAATCAGCACAAAAACCAGTTAGAGAATTTAACACATCTCCATAGGAAACTGCCATATACTGAGTCAGACCACAGGGTCCCCACTGAGTGGCAGCAGCTTGCCAGGATTTCTGTTGGGGGTCTTTTCTAGAGCCCTATCTTTTGCCCAACCTGGCAAAACAATCACCAGGGCCACAGATGGGTGTAGCCTGAGGAGAGTATGTGTGGTTAGTGAGGGGTGTGGCTTGAGGAAAGAGGGTGTGGTCTTGGGAGGGACTCAATGGCCAGCAAGAGAGACTTGGGGGCAGGCGTGCTGTGCTCCACCTCCAGAGGTTGCCTAGGACTACGCAAAGCTATTTCCTCTCCCTTACATTTCTTTATTTATTACAGGCTTCCTCAAACTCGGCCCTCCAGATGTTTTGAGACTACAATTCCCATCATCCCTGACCACTGGTCCTGCTAGCTAGGGATCATGGGAGTTGTAGGCCAAAAACATCTGGAGGACCGAGTTTGAGGAAGCCTGATTTATTACATTCACACTCTAGGAGGCCTACACAATTCTCTTCCCATGTTATCCTCACAACAGCCCTGAGAGGTAGGTTAGGCTGATGGACTGGTGACTAGCCCAAGGTCACCCAGTGAGTTTCATGCCCATGGGGGGATTTGAACCCTAGTCTCCCAGATTCCCAATACCAGAAGGAGCATCTCCACCCCCATTGTTCAGCCCAGACACTGAGGTCCAGCTCTGAGGGCCTTGTGGCGGTTCCCTCACTGTGAGAAGTGAGGTTACAGGGAACCAGGCAGAGGGCCTTCTTGGTAGTGGCTCTCGCCCTGTGGAATGCCCTCCCTTCAGATGTCAAGGAAATAAACAACTATCTGACTTTTAGAGGGCATCTGAAGGCAGCCTTGTTTAAGGAAGTTTTTAATTTTTGATGTTTTATCGTGTTTTTAATATTCTGTTGGGAGCTGCCCAGAGTGGCTGGGGAAACCCAGCCAGATGGGCAGGGTATAAATAATAAATTATTATTATCATTACATTTTAACTGCTATACCCGACTGGCTCTCATACACCCACCCACCAGTACTGTACCGATGTTACAACTGAACCACTGTACATCAAACCATACATAACAATACTAAAAAGGCAAGCATTTAATATGTGATCAGACCAGGCAGAGGGCTGAGTCAGGAGGCTATAGAGTTACAGGAGAGGGGAGACTGAGGTGGCCCAAGGTCCTCCAGGCTAGGGATGCCTCCAGGACTTGTCCTCTCTGAGACCAGCTCCTGCGCTGTCTCCTTCCACTGAGTCCTCCGGAAAAGGCTTGCCCCCTTTGCCAACAAGAGTTCCATCAAAGGGAAGTGCCCTTTCTCTGCAGCCAGGTGCAAGGGGGTTTTGCCTATCCAGCCAGCGGCGTTGACGTCTGCCCCCTCGTCCAGGAGGAAGCTGACGACAGCGACGTGGCCGCGGCTGGCAGCCCGGTGAAGTGGAGTCAGGTTGAGGTGGTCCCTCCCATCGATGCTCGCAGCACCTTCCCTGACCAGGGAGGAGACAACTGGCAGGTGACCCTCAGTCGCAGCTTTGTGGAGGGCAGTGCAGCCGTGGTGGTCGGTCAGGTTCACAGCTGCTTGACTCTGCAGCAGAAGCTTCACCATCTAGTGAAAGGAAGAGGAAAATACAGTGGTACCTCGGGTTACATACGCTTCAGGTTACATACGCTTCAGGTTACACACTCCACTAACCCAGAAATAGTGCTTCAGGTTAAGAACTTTGCTTCAGGATAAGAACAGAAATCAGGCTCTGGCGGCGTAGCAGCAGCAGGAGGCCCTGTTAGGTAAAGTGGTGCTTCAGGTTAAGAACAGTTTCAGGTTAAGTACGGACCTCTGGAACGAATTAAGTACTTAACCTGAGGTATCACTGTACAGCAAACAATGAGGGACTCACGTAAGCCCCGGACACCACTTTACCCGTAAGTTCTCTAATGTTTCAGGGGCCCCTGAGCTGCCATAACTGGCCTGCACGATAGGGGAAAGACTAAGGGGGAGGGAGTAGGAGGGAAGCAGACACAGAGAGACACAGGCAGAAGAAAAAGGCTGGAATGGACCTGCAGCTTCTGCCTACATCTCTCTCTGGAAGCAGCTCAAGTAGAAGCTGCAGGTCCATTCCAGCCTTTTTCTCCTGCCTGCATCTGTCTCTTCTCATCACCTTTTTGCTCATTCTCTAGGACAGGAAGATGAAGAAACCTTGATTTGCTTTGGTCAGCTGGGGTGAGCTCATTATCTGGTTAGATCATGTACATTGGTTGTATCTTTGTAAAGTCCTGGCAAAAAATTTGGTGCTTTGTGTTTCATTTTTTAAGTTTGTATTTTTTAAATTAAAGTTTAGTTGTTATTTCTTTTTCTGGGAAAAATAATCAATAAGCTAATTTAAATTTTAGCTTCTTTGATGAAGAAAAAGAATGTTCTTTATGATTGAGTATGAGTATGTACTCAATACATGTTTGGCTTAAAAAAAAATCTTCCCCAAAGCCTAGGTGCACACCTTAGCGCATGGGTAGGCTAACTAAGGCCCGGGGGCTGGATCCGGCCCAATAGCCTTCTAAATCCGGCCCGCGGACAGTCCGGGAATCAGTGTGATTTTCCATGAGTAGAATGTGTCCTTTTATTTAAAATGCATATCTGGGTTATTAGTGGGGGCCTGCATGGTATTTTTACATGAGTAGAATGTGTGCTTTTATTTAAAATGCATCTCTGGGTTATTTGTGGGGCATAGGAATTTGTTCATTTTCCCTCCAAAATATAGTCCAGCCCCCCACAAGGTCTGAGGGACAGTGGACCGGCCCCCTGCTGAAACGTTTGCTGACATCTGCTTAGCGAAATGCAAGCTTATGACTTTTCCACCATACTGTAGTGGCAAAACCAAAGTGCAGGATCCTTCAATGATAGCCATGCTTCCTGACCGCCATGTCCCCTTCAAAGATTTTCCTGCCTTAGAAGGGGACAAACTCTAGCTCTCATCAGCCCCAGCCAATGTAACCAGGGATCATGGGAGTTGTAGTCCATTAACATCTGGAGGGCATATTCCAATATTTGTGGAATATTGATTTATAACCAATTATTTTTGTGGGCTGACAAAGTGAAGAGTAACTCTACTTGATATTCTGGGAATATGTAATACAGTGGCACCTTGGTTCTTGAACTTAATCTGTTTTGGGAGTCTGTTCGATTCCGGAAATGGTTTGAAAATCAAGATGCGGCTTCTGATTGGCTACAGGAACTTCCTGCACTCAATCAGAAGCTGCAGAAGCCGTGTTGAACGTTCAGCTTCCGAAAAGCGTTTGCAAACCGGAACACTCACTTCCGGGTTTGCGGCGTTCAGGAGCTGATTTGTTCGCGAGGCAAGCCATTTGAGTACCAAGGTACCACTGTAGTTATATAAAAGTCTAAGCAGAAATTGAAATATGTACTGATGGGAAATGAAGAAGGGGGGAAATGAATGATAAAATGTTAAAATATTTTAAGTATTGAAATGGAATTAGGAGAAGTACGTAACATTCAGCAGGAAGGGAGGAAAGAGAAACATCATGGAAGCAGCATAGCAAGTCAACTTAAAATTTGTATTAAATTTGGATTAATTTGCTAAAATCTTTGAAAAGCAATAAGAACTCATTGGCTAACATCTGGAGAACACCAGAGGCTCCCACCCGTGGCTGTATAAAGACAACAAACAAACAAATAATCTAACCTCATGATGGCCGTTGTTAGTAGCAATGGAGAGCGGCGTTCTCCCTAGGCTGTCCTGAGCATTCACGCTGGCGCCTTTGGCAAGCAAGAACTTCAGAGCTTCCGTTCTTCTGCTCTCGGCTGCTACGTGCAGTGGTGTGACACTCCCTCCGTTTCCTAAATCCGGGCTGACGCCCTGCGATATCAGCAGGTCCACAATATGCAACCGGTTGTTGGCCGTCGCCCAATGCAGGGCCGACCACTGGCGACAGTCGAGGCTGGTCAGGTCCGTTCCGTGCCGCAAGAGGAGCTGCACCACCAGGGTGTGCCCGTTGGCAGCGGCGAAATGGAGCGGGGTGAGGCCTCCTTTGGTCGGCGCCTCCGCCGCTGCACCCCGGCGCAGGAGGAGCTCCGCCACTTGGCTGTGGCCACTCCAAGCGGCGCAGTGGAGAGGCCTGTAGCCGGAAGTGTCGCTGGCATTGGCCAATGCTCCACGCTGGATGAGAAACTTCACCATAGCAGCACTACCGTTCAAGGAGGCGGCGTGTAAAGGCGTCCAGCCATTCTCATCTCTGAAAGGGTGGTTTCCCGTTACTTATTTGTTTTGTAAGATTTATATACTGCTTGGTTGTGAAACGGAAGGGAACAGCAACCTCAACGCAGTTTGCAAGGAGAATGAAACAAACTATTGAAAACAACTATAGTCAAACTTCAGTTGTCGAACATAATCCTTTCTGGAAGCCCATTTGGCTTCTGAAATGTTTGACAACCGAGGCGCGGGCTTCCGATTGGCTGCAAGAGCTTCTTGCACTCAAGCGGAAGCCGCGTCGAATGTTTGGCTTCCAAAAAAACATTCAAAAATGGGAATACGTACTTCTTGGTTTGGGGCGTTCAGGAGCTGAAACGTACGATAACGGAAGCGTTCAGGAACCGAGGTTTGACTGTATTTAGAACATTCAAAAATTAATTGACACTAACGTTAAGCTTTAAAAGCAGGTTAAAACACTCATCCACATTCTGTGTGGATAGGTTTCCCTAAGCTAAGTTGTTTTTAAGCAGGTGAGGGGGCCTGCCTGGTGTCAATCATTTGACGCTCCCCCTGCAGCCCTTGCACTGCCTTCTCAAAGTCGGGTAAGTGAGGCACTGGGCTTTGGAAAGGAGGCCTAAGGGATCTGACAGAGTCCTTCAGTTCTCCTGCCTCCTTCCCAAAGCCTGGTTAGTGCTTTCCCAGCTTTGGGAAGGAGGTAGGAGGGCTCTGGGACCCTACCAGAGCCTCATCCTCCTTCCCAAAGCCAGTTCCTCACTTAGCCAATTTTGGGAAGGCTGCACGAAGGGGTTTTTTGGGGGGCGGTGGCGAATTAGGGTCCCGCTCTCTCCCACCCGTGCAAAAATGCAGCGTGCAGCCTGCAGGTTTCGTGTCGAATTACTGTTGCGGCCCCCTTGGTATGAGAAGTTCAGACCCTCCAAGTGTCCCCATTTTCCTGGATTTACAGCCAGTTGTCCTGGTTTCTGATTTGATCCTGGAATGTCTCATTTTTTCCCTTTGGAAGTCCCTATTTTCATTGGAGAGATGTTGGAGGGTATGGGGTTATGCGACCCCCCAAGCCAAGGGAAGTTTTTAAATGTTTTTAAATGCTTCATGCTTGATTACATTTTTATATATGTTGGAAGCCGCCAACAGTGGCTGGGAAAACCCAGTCAGATGAGCGGGATATAAATATAAATATAAATATTCAGTGCTTTTTTCTGGAGGGGACGCAGGGGTACACATACCCCTAAAATTTTTCTGATTCTTTGTACTTTTGTCCATTTACTGTATTTATTTTCCCCGATTTGAACTATAAAGTGGTGATTTTCTTGAGTCAAAATGAGAGTACCCCTAAACATTTTTTAGAAAAAAGCACGGACTATAAATATAAATAATATAGATATAGATACGGATATAGATATATAGATATAATACTATAGGACGTCCCTATTTTCATCAGAGAAATGTCAGAGGGTATGGAAGTTGGACCTTCCTGTTCTTAACTAATAGCGTTGCTGACTCGAAGAAACCAGAGGCCTTTCTCCTGGGCATAGTCGGCCAATCGGTGTTAAAAAAGGACAGAACTTTCTTTATGTACGCTACAACAGCAGCAAGAATACTCATTGCAAAGCATTGGAAGACACAAGATCTACCCACACTGGAGGAATGGCAGATGAAAATGATGGACTATATGGAATTGGCGGAAATGACTGGCAGAATCCGTGACCAGGGAGAAGAGTTGGTGGAAGAAGAGTGGAAAAAATTTAAAGACTATTTACAGAAATATTGCAAAATTAATGAATGTTAGAATGATGTTGGATTGAAGTTAAGTGGTTTCTAGCTGTACAGGTACAAAAGAATATGGAAAAATTGGTTTTTAATATGTAAAAATTTAAAGTTATAATATATCAAGATTAAAGATTAGGATTAAAAAGGAGGGAAAGGAATTGTTGGATTAACAAATTTAATTGGAATACAAAAGAGGGAGGTATGAGGAGGTCCGGGAAACAAGTAAACGTAAAAGAAGTGAGGAAAAGATGGAATTGTTTTTAACTGTTTTTTCTTTTTTTTCTATTTTGTATTTTTCCTTTTCATTGTTAATTTTTTTTTTACTAATGTGATTTTTTTTCCCTTTGAAACTTTAATAAATATTATTTTAAAAAATAATAATAATAGCGTTGCTGACTCATAGGTAGCGCTACCGCAGGCCCAGTGCATGCACTTCCTCCAGGACACCAGAAGGGGCAGCAGAGGGCCCTCCCCTCTCACCTCACCTGCTCTCTGTGTCCGCCCCTTGCTTCAACAGCTGCTTGAGCAGGTGCGTGTCCCCATTCCGGGCCGCCCGGTGCAGCTCCTTCCAGCTCGGTTGCACAGCAGTCGGGATCAGGTGATTCTCGGGGATAAATTTGTGGCTGTGCTCCCCAGTCAGGGTCCCCTCCTCAGCATCCTCCTCCTCGCTCAGCACCATCCATTTCCTTGCTGCCTCGGCCTCGACTCTGGTGCCTCTCAGGAAGAAGGACAAGTAATCCGTTAAGATGCTCTCAATCTTGGCAATACATATTTGGCCATAATATAGACATGGGAATGATTGTGGAATATAGATATAAAATTTACAGCATGTTACAGTTTAAGAGCAAATTACAGTGGTACCGCTGGATGCAAATGGGATCCATTCCGGAGCCCCGTTCGCATCCTGAAGCGAAAGCACCCCGCGTCTGCGCGTGCGTAGGTCGCGATTCGCCGCTTCCGCGCGTGACGTCATTTTGAAACATCATACATACATCACAGAAGGGGTGTAACCTAAGACCCTCCCCCCAGATACATCATACCTACATCACCGAAAAGGCGGTCTAAAACAGAAATTTGAATGTTGTTTTTCCTGTCTGCCAGGTTATCTGATTGTCTTTCCTGATAGCCTGTCCCTCATTAAAATGCTGATTACTCAATTCCTGAGACAATGGGAAGGCTCCCTGACCCCCCCCCCCTTGCAGGGAAAACATTTGGTCAGTTTGGGAATCAAAATGGTTTCAGGTCGGTCGTCCTGTGCTGATCTATGTACATGCTTGGTGGGTACACTTATGAACATTACCATATATCTAAGACCTCAAAATTGTACATGGGCAAAATTTACATTCATTGCTCCACCCACTTCTGCCTTTGGCCCCGCCCCATGCCTCGCATGTGACCTTGTGATATCCCAGGGCATCATACTGGATCTAGAAAGTGAGTGGGGGATATCACGTTTCTGCACATAGCAGCCAAGAGTGGAGGAACTGAACCTCCCTTTTGAGAACATTATCATTTAATGGAGAGAGCGAGAGAGAAATATATTTTTCTTACCAGTCATTTCTCTTCCACGGCCGACTGGCGCTCTTTTATTTATTCTGAGGTTGCTCCCGAACAAAACGTGGGCGGTTCCCTTATCCCGTGGGTTCTGAGTGCGAGGAGGTGCGCACCGCTGTTTGCTCCCCAACACTCGGCTGTCCTCATGCCCCAAGGTCGTCTCTCCTGCTTCTTGGAGGGTCCTCAGAGCAGCAACTCTCAGATTTGTTTGTGCAAGCAAAGCTTCGATCGAACACACAAATGGACCATTCCTATGGAAAGGAAACCGGCTACCAGACCATATTTTAACCCCGAAAGCCTTTGCCCCATTAATATCCAGCCCGTTCAGAAGCAGAGCCAGCCAGCCAGCTCCCTTCGCCTCCTTGTTTTGATCCGTGCATTCTGGAGTGTACCGAGAGCTGTTTATTTAATGACTAAATGGATTCTAAGAAGAGGGAGGGGTGCCTGACCGCTAATGGTTAATAGGATATTGGCCTGACAGACTTCTTGGCTCCCTGCCTAGAGCACATTTGTGAGCTCTTCCAAGTTGAAGTTCTGAAACTGTAGATCAGGGGTGGGGAACCTTTTTCACATGGGGGCCCTTTTAAAAAAATAAAAACAAAAATATCCTTCTCCTCATAACACTAGACTGTGTGAACATCCAAAGCAGCAGAATGTTGGACTCTTCGGGACAGTTAAAAGAAGGTACTTCTTCATGTAAAGGTAAAAGGTAAACATAAAAGACCCCTGGATGGTTAAGTCCAGTCAAAGGCGACTATGGGGCTGCGGCGCTCATCTCGCTTTTAGGCCGAGGGAGCCAGCGTTTGTCCACAGACAGCTTTCTGGGTCATGTGGCCAGCATGACTAAATTGCTTCTGGTGCAACAGAACACCGTGACGGAAACCAGAGTGCATAGAAACGCTGTTTACCTTCCCGCCACATTGGTACCTATTTATCTAATTGCACTAGCATGCTTTCGATCTGCTAGGTTGGCAGGAGCTGGGACAGATAACGGGAGCTCACCCCATCGCGGGGATTTGAACCGCCAACCTTCTGATCGGCAAGCCCAAGAGGCTCAGTGGTTTAGACCACAGCGCCACCCGCGTTCCACTTCTTCATGTAGCGCCCAGTTAAACTATGGAACTCACTTCCACGGGAGGCAGTGGAAGCCACCAAACTATATGGCTTTAAAAGAGGACTGGACAAATTCATGGAGGGCTGGGCTAACGAAGGCTAATCACCATGATGGCTATGCTCTACCTCTGTGGTCAAAGGCAGTAATTGATTTTCAATGGGCTCTTCTTATGTTCCTGACTGTAACCGAATCCTGAAAAGACAGAGGTGTCATGTATACTGAGTTCTCATGCCCAGGAGGTGGGGAGATGGCCTGCCCTGGTGCCTCGCTTTCCCATGCTTTTCAGGCAGAGATGTCTTGGCCACTGTACTCCATTCTCTGCTAACTTCCAGATCGGATTATCGCAATGCATTCTACATGGGGCTTCCGTGAGTTTCCCCCTCACTGTGCTGCATTTCCCAGCACCATAAGCAAACTACAGTTCCCAGGATTCATGTCTCTGTGTGTGTATATGAGAGAGAGAGATGCTTGAAATGTGCATTGGATGTGCTTTAAACACACTGTGGATCTGCAGGGCCACCCCTTGTCTAGCTGTAAGTAAGCAGGCTGGCAGGGGGCTGGGTGGGCAGACTAAGATTGGTGGGGCAGTGCCCTGTTTGCCCTAATGGACCATCCTTCACTGGTTCAGAAGCAAGAGGGATTAATTATAGCGTCATCCGTGGAAGGTGGGTGGATTCTTTGGAAAACCTGGACAGAGTCGGAATGGGATGGAGTACAGGGTCAGGTTTGAGGTGCTGGTTTTGACCTTTAAAGCCCTATGTGGCCTAGGACCCACGTGCCTACAGGACTGCCTCTCCTGGTATGCCCCGCGGAGGACCTTAAGGTCCACAAATGACAACATTTTGGAGGTCCCAAGTCGCAAGGTGGTTAGATTGGTCTCGACTAGGGCCGGGGCCTTTTCAGTACTGGCCCCGACTTGATGGAACACTCTGTCACAAGAGACTAGGGCCCTGCAGGACCTGACATCTTTCTGCAGGGCCTGCAAGACGGAGCTGTTCTGCCTGGCCTTTGGTTTGGACTCAGTCTGACCCTTATGTTTTCCCTCCCCTTATGGTTTTGCTCTATGGGCTACTTTTAAATTGAGGCTGCATTTAAAATTTTATTTTAACCTGTATTTTAAATTGGTCCCCCCCTTATGTTTTTATTGTAATTTTACTGGTGTTAGCCACCCTGAGCCCGGCTCTGGCCGGGGAGGGCGGGAAATAAATAAATATTAATAATTATTATTATCCTGACAGTGGGCTCTATGCTGGAACACTGAGTAGCAGGTCCTGCTTTTACTTGCTAATGGTGTAGGATGCAATCCAGCTTTCACGCCCCACCTGGTTCTGCCTTCTGATTTTGGTGTAGGCAGGGGCACCGGAGGAACATAGCTGTCAACTTTTCCCTTTTCTTGCAAAGAATCCTATTCAGAATAAGGGAATTTCCCTTAAAAAGGGGGAAAAGTTGACAGCTATGCAGAGGAGCAGGCATCAAGCCATTTCCCTGGTCTGAATGACTCTCTTGAAGCTGCTATATTCCTGCCACTGGGGGAGGATGTCGGGCAGATGGGACCTGAGGCAATCAACAAAACAAGCAACTTGTTTCACCTGATTACTGGTAAGTTGGCAACAACAGCAGCAGCAATAACTGAGCACTGGTGCTCAGAATGCCAGAGGTTACCTTGTTGGGCCCCAGTGGAAAGAGGTTTATGATTAAGTCCCTGCTATTGCATCCCTGCACCCGAGCCCTGAAGCACGACCCCTCTGAGAAGATCAAGTGCTGTGAGGAATAGCAGGTCGCTGCGCAACAGGAAGAACATCGCCGAGGAGGCATGTCGGAGCATGCCAGACTGTCTGTAACAAGATCTCCTGGTGTTGTTTTGTTTCGTTCTGCTAAAGTTGGCATCTCTCTGGTCCCAGGTCACCCACCCAGAGCTTTCTGGGAGTGACAAGACAGCTTTGCCTGGCAGATCAAGTCTGGGCTACGGGGGTTGTTTTGTAGTTAGTGATTTAACAAACAAACCCTCAGCACCTTCAACAAACCACTGTTTCCCAGATTTTTAGTGGGAAGCCATGACGGTTTGAAGTGGTATGATACGACTTCAAATCTATAATGCAGACAGGGCCTGACACAGATACATAGAAGAAGCCCTCCATAAGACTCCCTTCTCAGCAGAGTTAACAAACGGCAGCAGCTCCTAGGATTCTTTCTGTTGGGGATATTTCAGACAGAAATTCCCAGGTGTCAAAAAAGGTTATTTACTGTGGTCCGTGTTTTGTTAGCCCCCAAATGGAAAACGAGCGAGGTCCCAACTGAAGAAGAATGGCAACTTAAGCTGACGGAATATGCCCAGCTTGCAGACCTAACATATAGAATAAGAGAACAAGAAGAACATACATTTGGAGAAGATTGGAAAATGTTTATCGAATATGGGGGGGGGGGATTTTGTGCACTTGAAAACGTTGGCAGCATTAATATAAATCCAAACAGTGTAAATAAGTTTTGATGGATGTACTAATGGGATACTGAATGGTTTCATTTATGTAAAACATGCAGGTATTTGTGGTATGCAAAATGAACCACGGAAAGAGAAGAAGGCAAGTCTTTGATATTTTAAGGATGTTTCAATGAGTATTCAAAATTGTAAAACAGAAAATTTAATAAAAATTACACACACACACACAGTGTGACATCATAGAGCTTTAAGTGTCTGGTGCGAATGGCGCCCGAGTCATCACTATGCCCCTGTTGTAAAAATAAGGACCATTTCTCCAGCTGCCCACAAGATGGTGCTCTGAGTACAAGTGAGGAGGAGTTGCTTAAGAGCAAAACCCGGTTTCTAGATGGGTTGGTGGTGTTAGCCTATTGTGATGAGGATGGTCTTGCAGCACCAGAAAGACCAGCACATTTATTATGGAATAAACTTGTGCATCAGAGCCCACCATCAAGTTGCATGAAGAGTTACCCACAGTTGGCAGGTGCATATACAGAACCATAGAATTGTGGGCTTGGAAGGGACCCTGAGGATCATTTGGTCTGACCCCTTGCAATGCAGGAATAGGCAGCTATCCCTTATAGGGATCAGACCTGCAACCTTGGTGTTACCAGCACCATGCTCTTACCAACTGAGTGATATCTAAAATATGTGCACCTAATTCAGGATCTCAGAGTTGAAGCCCGGTCAGAAGTTAACATTGAAGTTAACAGACAGGACTAACCGAGGTTCATGCATTTCAACAACTTAACTGGATACGACCCCCAACAATAAGCCTCAGAGATGTCATGTGTCGGCGTGACACTCAACGATGCATCATGTTGTGTTTAACGACAGCAGCAGAACTCGTAATCCCTTTCTTTTCAAGATTTAGATAACCTGGTTAAGCTTTAGATGAGCTGTCAAGAGTCTTTAATTTCTCCCGGCTTTGGTCTGGTTCGAAGCTCTTTCTCTGCTCTTCATTATGCTGTGACTCCCTTCACCTGTTTCTGATTTTATTGTATTTAGAGCTGGTTTTTATTGCATTTTAATGTGTTGGGTTTTTTTATATTGTGATACACTTTGAGGGCTGCTTTTATGGCTGAAAGGCTGCATTTAAATGACTTTAAAGGTAAAGGTAAAGGTACCCCTGCCCGTACGGGCCAGTCGTGTCCGACTCTAGGGTTGTGTGCCCATCTCACTTAAGAGGCCAGGGGCCAGCGCTGTCCGGACACACTTCCGGGTCACGTGGCCAGCGTGACGAAGCTGCTCTGGCGAGCCAGTACCAGCGCAGCACACGGAAACACCGTTTACCTTCCCGCTATAAAGCGGTACCTATTTATCTACTTGCACTTAGGGGTGCTTTCGAACTGCTAGGTGGGCAGGAGCTGGGACCGAACGACGGGAGCTCACCCCGCCGCGGGGATTCGAACCACCGACCTTACGATCAGCAAGTCCTAGGCACTGAGGTTTTACCCACAGCGCCACCCGCGTCCCCATAAATGACTTTATAAGTGAGCAAAAGCAATCAGTAAGATCCACATATACTGTAGTTGCTTTGGAAGATGATAATCAGGCACCCACACAACATGACCAGTCCAATGAAGCTGATGTTGAAGAACCATCGCTTCAAAACTGGTGATCTTTGCTTCTTCCAGTACACTGCTACTAGTTCGCCTGTCTTCTGTGATAGGAATTTTGAGGTCTTAGATATATGGTAATGTTCATAACCGCACATACATAGATCAGCACAGGAAGACCGGCCTGAAGCCATTTTGATTCTTAAACTGAGCAAATGTTTTCTCTGCAATGTCAAAGTGGAAAAGCCTCCCCATTGT